TTGTTACACCATAATCGTCATGATACTGTGATACCCCCACTGCTCGCGCCTTGGTCCACCCCACGTCTTTTCTTTACAACTTGTTTCATCGGTCTCCGGAGTTCTGGCATGTCAGCTGCATCGCCACTACATAGCGCTTTCGATTCTTTTTCATTTTCCCATTTTGAACCTCCTTCATCAGCTATCGGCACTCCTATTCCTCGAACCGCAGCAAATGATAGCATCTGCCTGCTGTCAGATGCAGACTGGAAGGCACCTGCTCTGGACCTTTCTGGAAAGGATGAGCAAAGGGCGAGTCTCTGGGATGACGCGAGAGAGAATATGCACGTGCATCACTCAGGGTCTCATGCGGCGACTTGGTTGGTTGGTGCGGTTTGCGCCGACGCAGATGTGCGGAATTCCAAGGCCGACCGGGTGCGCCGTGATTTGCTGCCCGAGACGGGCGGCCTGATTACATAATTTCCCCCTCGCTGACGGCGCATTGCAACGAAAAAAAAAAAAATAAACCAACTGGTCATCCCCCTCCTTCTCCTGGCCGGTCTCCGCCTTGTTTCCCTTCCCTCGCCTGCTTATCGTCGTGGCGCTCGCTCCTCTGCAATACTGACAGGGGGTTCTTGCGCCACGGATCAGCCTATCAATCTTCACGATCTCACCGCCATTGTGCCAGGCGCCTTCGATCAAGTCATTATACCTAATCACAATGACTCACCGGAGATGATGCTGTCGCAGTTGCTGTCCAGGCCTGATGGCCATCTCGAATCTTCCCGGCCCGGTCTTATCTGCCTCCTTTTACATCACATTTTCTTTTCTCGTTATTCTGATGCGTTGTCGCGATGGCGTTGGTGGGCATAGCCGGCGCTCTGTCCTCTCGATATTTCGGGCTTATTCTTTTCTTTGTTTCTTCATCATCAGCGAGCATGAGACCATCTGTCCTACCTTGTTTTTAGCGTTTGATATCCTGTGTTTAGATACCCAGTCTTGTACCTTGGTCACATCCTGTTCTGGCGCCTCATACCCCGAGTCTGTTACATCACAGCTCTTGCGTTGCTTTTGTGTTCTGGTCGGATTTTGAAGCATATCTGCTAGCATAGCCTGCACCGCATAAGGTGGCATAGCATTGCAAATACTATTAATTCGGATGCATATGTTTAATCTTCTCCATGCAAGTAGTTAGAATAATGTAGTCTAGATAAATACAATCCAGTGTAATATTCAAATACCCAGTCCTCTAATGATTACTGTATTATCATATACTAAGATGCAATCAGAAAAAATCTATGGAGTACTCTACAGTCCCTTCCCAAGCAACTCCCCACCAACCTCCCTGATCAACCCCTCCTTCGCAAAAACCTGCATCTCCCCCTTGGCCTTCACCGTCTCCGCAATCCCCATCGCCCGACAGAGATCAACAACCGCCCCATCCGCTGGCGCCTCGTAGACCAGTAACCCCAGCGCAAACAAGAGCCCATGCAGCGCCTCCGCGCTCTCCGCTTCCTGGACGATCGCTTCAACCAGCGACGCGGTGACCTCGACCTGTTCCTCCTCGGTGAGTTTATCGGGGTGGCCGGCGAAGCGCGCGTTGTGGTTCGCGGCGGAGAGGTTGTAGGCAAGGGAGGCGGCGACGGTGCGGAGGTTTGGATGCGGGTCTAGGAGGGAGGATGTTGCGAGGGTTAGGACTGTGGTGTGGAGGTTATTGTTGTTGGCGGTGTTTGTGGTGAGATGGTCGAGGTAGAGTGGGGAGCTGAAGAGGTTGCAGATGAGCTGGAGCATGACGATGCGGAGGTTGTAGGGGCAGGAGGAGAGGTTCGTGGATGGGGAGAGGAGGGTGAGGAGGGTGGTGTGGTTGGGTTCTTCGGCGAAGAAGCTTGATACCCTCGTGTCGAGGAAGAGGAGGCGGGCGAGGTCGACGAGCGCGAAGTGGTTCTCTGGAGGGAGGGCGTGGAAGGTGGATTGGAGGTAGGAGGCGAAGGTTGGGAGGGCGTCGGGGAGGGCGACGTCTGCTGCTGGGCTAATGGGTGTGGTTGATGATGAGCGGGCGGTGATGAAGGCGATCATGGACTTGAGACGCGGGTCCTCATGGTGCGGCTGGAGTTTCTGGAGTAGTTTGTCTAGTGGAGGGACCTTCTTGTACATAACGAAGTTGGATAGATGACGCTGAAAGCTGGGGAGATGGAGTTGGCGATGGCGATGGGTCGGATGGGCCATCTCGATGAGTAGACGCACGTTGCCGCGCAGCTTGGCCGGGTCTGCACCGCTCCATTCGTCGAGTTTCTTGCCCTTGAGGAACGTCATGAAGGTCGGCGTCGCTCGTACCCCGTACTTCATGCTGACGTCGTAGGCGGCGCTGATGTCGACCTTGATGAGGACGGCTTTGTCACCTGCCTCCTCCGCCAGTTCATCGTAGGTAGGATACACAATCTTGCACGGTGGACATGTCGCTGAGGTGAAGAAGATGACTGCACACGATTTGACCGCTGATTCGAGTTGTTCCTCGAGCTGGCTGACGTTGCTGACCTGTCGTACAGTGCCAGGGCGCGCTGGCGCTGCAGCTGTGACTGGTGCCCTGGGAAGCGGCTGAGGAGCCGGCGCTGCAGCCTGCGTCACACCGCGCAGTGCCTGTTCAATCTGCGGCTTCATCATCTGCCCAAAGGGGGTGCTCAAGAAAGTCTGAGGCAAGTTTTGAATGTGTTCTGGGATGCTCTTTCCGACCAGGAACATTGCAAGATCCTGTGTGAAATTGTTGCAATTGTGCAGAAAGAGGTCATACGACTGCCGGTGATGCTTTAGCTTATGCCTAATGCGAGGGTGAGTAAGAGTGCCATACCTCTGGCGTATAAATCGACGCAAGCGACTGGATATACTCTTCGACCACGTCGATGGGCAGCTCGGTTTTCCCGAGAAGCAGCTTCTCCATTGGCTGTCCGTGATGTGTACTGCCAGGGACAGATGTTTGTATCCCCTGGCCAAAGTAGTACTCGACGCCATTGAGTACAATAGACGTGTGATATATGGCATCAATATAGGTTCCAGTCAATGCCAACGAATACTGTAATATGTTAGGACAACCACTACTGGGTATGGAATGTGCGGTAAAGCCATACCATCCTTGCGAGACCCTATAGATAACGTTAGTATACGCAAAATAGTACTTTACAGATAATCATACCTTGGAGAGGTCATAGACATAGAGCTCTACATCCATCTTGACGTGGATGAGGCAGGAACGAGTCCAGTCGAATCAAATGAAGTTCTTACTTGACAACAACGGCCTGTACCCCAAGCAAATGTCAATGAAAAGAAACTATCTCAGATTTGTCAAAAGAATTGATGTGATCGACCGGCTGCATCTGTTACAAAAGTTGTAGGAAATACAGGCATCAATTGGATCACGTCAGCCGATCTCCGTCACGAGGGTTCCGTCATGTTCGATCAGATACTATCATATTGGCATGTGTCTAGAATGCTATCTTATCATGCAAAAAACCTTTGATTATCCAACGCAAAACCGCAATTGCTGGAAAGGAACCCATGAATTCTGAAGACAGCCCCTGGTAGAAACCCAACTCTGTAGATCTTATCGCGAAGCTATCGCCCATGGACCACTCGGAGAGCATTGCTTCTCCGCACCCGCATCTCTTCCTTTGACAACATCTCCAAGTCAACAGCGCCATACTCTGCATTTCAACCCTGCGACATGGTAAGTGCACACTTTCCTTCTGTCTTTTTTTTATCGTCACCGCCACTAATCCATCTTCCTTCAGCCCCCCAAGAAGCGCAGCGCCCCCGCCACCTCATCAGCCCCGAAGAAGGCACGCCAATCCAAACTTGCCAAAGAAAACGACATCAGCGCCGAAGAAGAAAGCGAGATCAAAGAAGTCTTCCATCTCTTCTCAACCGCAGCCGAAGAATTCCCCAATGAGAAAGAAGGTGTTATCGCCCGCGAGGACGTGCGCAAAGCGCTCGTGTAGGTCCTCCCCATTCAATCATCTACAAACTCAGCGTGGAACGCGGTATTGACGCAGCACAAAAGAGCGCTAGGTCTGCCTCCCTCTGACTCGAGCGAGCTCCACTCGATCCTCTCCGCGGTCGATCCAACGAATACCGGCTTTGTCCCGTATGCGCCGTTTGTGTCAGTCGCGGCGGCGAAATTGAGGTCGCGGTCTGATGAGGCGATGTCCGCAGAGGTGGATGCGGCGTTCCAGCTTTTCACGAAAGGGACAGATGGGCCGATTACGCTGGGGCATCTGAGGCGCATTGCGCGCGAGTTAAAAGAGGATAACCTTGGTGATGAGTTGCTCAAGGATATGATTCTTCAGGCGAATGGTGGCGCCGGGGTGAATGCTGGTGTTACACTGGAGCAGTTTCATGATGTTATGACTCGTGCTGGGGTCTTTTGATTGCATTTTGTTCGATTATCTTTTTTCGGTGGGTTCAAGGAGTTCGAGCTGGTTTACTGCTTTAGCGGGTGCCTAGGTTGGGGTTGGGGTTCTCATAGTTATATCTTGTCGCATCTTGTGCACATACTGAGCTATGTTTCATCTGATCTCTTCAGCTTTCATCAGACTACATATCAAACTGTACCAGTTCGAAGATGTCGGGATACAAGTGTATTCCTCGTCAGAGAGTCTCAATATCGGATTGCGACATATAATATAATTTGTCAAATGTTTCCATCACAATCCGATGTGGTGTAATGGCTAACATCGCTGTCTCTCACACAGCAGCTCGGGGTTCGATTCCCCGCATCGGAATAACTTTTTGCACATGGTTATTATCCTGGACCACGAAGCTCCAGAGCTCTTTTTTTATCGATGAGATAGGTATGAATGGTATTACCTGATCTTTTGTTTTGATAGTCTCTTGAATTATACTAGAACACGTTCACTTTCAAAGCAAAGCTCGGAAGAAGAACGATCATCCATGAACGCCTAAAACATGCACAGTTGGGGTATCATTATAAACAGTATACACAATTCGGAAGGTGTTGATTTAGGCCGTAGTTAAGGCGTGACCTCAAGAGAAGATTTGCCCAGTAAGCTTGCATGATCATCAGTCAGAAGCTGAAGCTTGTCAAGGGGCACATCGAATCTGTCTGCAGCGGATACGCTTGTCGCCGGGGACGTATCAGGAGAACCGTCGATGATCGTAGACGTCGTAGACATATCGTTTGAAGTTCCTAAATCGCAGACGGACTCGAGCTTCTCGTCCTCCACTGCGTGTGTTCCCTGAGTCGGAGTATATTCTGAGCGTTGCCGATCAACGGCTTCATAAAACAGCATGAAAGCACCACCCTGAGACATCACGCTTGCCTCACTGACCATTTGTACATCGTCGTCACTCAATCGAAACCACCGTTCAGCTTTGTCCTTTTCGCCATCCGCCTCCAGCACGGTGTCTGGGACGTGGGCCGGGAAGAGGTCTGATGGGTATTTTCTGTAGCAGATATAATGTCCATTTTCATGGCGGCCGTAGTGCGTAACCACGGCCCGCAACTCGAAAAAGCGGCCGGAGACATCGGAAGCTGACCCAGCTTCAGGTAGCATAGACTCCCTAGGGTCGGTGCCCCATCTTTCAATGTCCATCTGACCCCAACTGGAGGACTTTGTCCCCAGACACCATTCATTCAAGTCAAGGACATTGGGGAATCTGACGGCAGCATAATTCTTCCTGAGCATCCCTGTATTCTCGTCGAACATGCTTCGGTTGATATGTATCACAAGGCATTTCGGCGTCCTCGCGATTACCGCCTGTCTTGATTTGGTCGACGTGACGCGGTTCTTGGACGGAATACGGCACTTCTTCGACAAGGTCTTCTCCGCAAAATCATCCTCTTCTAGTGCTTCCTCAACAGCCCGCAATCGCTCTTCAGCGGAGGTCCTGAGTGCTCCTGAGACTTTTGAAGAGTCAGGCGTATCAGGCAGCTTCATGTCTTCTTCGATCTGTTTAAGAAGATTTTCTAGCTGGTCCTTGGCGCGTAGAAGGGTGCACTTTGCACATTCCACACCTTCGATGGGCTCGAGGTGCATGTACTGATCAAGGCATTGTCGTACATCGTATTCGTGTTGCCCTCCAAGTGGCACCGTAAGGCAGTTGAACGGAATGAGGGAAAGACCTTCAGTCCAGCCGCATTTCATGCAACCTACTCTTTGCGCAAGAAGGCCCTCCAGAGGGTTGCGAGTCAGATGCCGTTCAGCTGCACGAGGAGATGAACCGTCTGCGCCATCCACATCCGTATGTGGTTCTGCCCCGATGATGTTCTCGACAGGCCCTGCCATTTTCAACCCCAAATTCCTCGTCCGGCGTTTCGTAGCCTGCTGCACCTCGTGATCGACCTGACCGACAACCTTCGAAAAGTATTCCTGCGCATCCTGCTGTTGCCAACTGCTCATCGATTTGAGCTCCGCCGGAATCCACAGCCGCTGATCATGATTATCAGCATTGTTTAACCGCTCGATGACGCCTCTGAGAGCCTGATGAGTCGAAAAGGATCCTTTATCCCCCAATGTCCGGATGTTGCGCTCCAAGAACTCTGCAAGAGAGTGTAGAGATGCTAGACCCTGAATGATGCTATTCTGATAGCATGAATTGTCCCAGTTTCCGAGCCCCGGGGGCAGATGGTCCTTGGCGCCGAGTAACGCTGTACCGAATCCTGAAAAGGTCGTAGAAGAAGGAAGGAAGGAGGAGAGGGAGGAGTTATTGAGCCCAAGGATACGTTGCATTGCTTCGCTCTTCGCTTGAAAGTTCATAGAAAGAAGGCCCTTGTCAGTTGAATCTAGGTTCGATGTCTTCGAATCCAGGGCAACAACTATTCGAGACGGTGTCAAATAGACTATGAGGTTCCACAAAGCTCGTGGTATCGAAATCGGCGCAACTCCGAAGTAATTTAAGACAAAATAAGCCAAAAGGCCAGCTGCAACTCCGTAGGTCAGAGTGTTATTATTACTCTGCAACCGCTGCAGAAACGTCTCATGCTGGCTATTTTGAGGGTTATGGAAAGGACTCTGAGTGAGGATGTCGAATCCCCCTCTTCGAGCATTCATGGCTAACCAGAAGAAAAGAACGACGACAGCATAGAGGCTTTTGGAGGATCAAATGAGAAGGGAAGGTTAAAGAAGATGTGTTGCATCTGTATGGGACAAGGATCGTCTTACGCCTCGCGTCAGCCTCTGTAAAAGAAGCCGCGGGCTGCGGTTGCGGTCTCTGTTGGTCACCGGAATTTTTCTTCTATCGATAAGCGGTTTCTCCACCCACATCAACAACTTCGTCCTGACTATTTTTTCATTTCTCATTTCGATTATCACAAACACAAATGGCCAAAGCGAGACGTAAGTTTTCTACGCAGGAACCATGAGCGAAAGTACGATTTGATGCTAACGTCACTGTGAATTATAGCCAAGTCATTACATTCTCGCGCTGCTCGGCGGGCGGCTTCCCCAAGTCTCGACGTCGACAAGTCGTTGACTTCACTGCCACGAGCCGAAAACACTGTCATACAGCGAGAATCTGTTCTGAACGAACGCGCGAATGCTGGGGTGTCGAAAAAATCAAAGGCCAAGGCCAAAACAAGAGCACAGCGCCTGAGACAACAAAAGGGCATTGAAAGAGCTGAAATTGTGTACTCTCAGCTGGAAAAGAAGGTGGCTAAGAGTGTCTCCCGGGCTAAAAATGTCAAAGCACGCAGGGTATGAACGTTCCTTCTCTATGTCTGTGAGAATGCTAACGTTGACATGTGTCGTTCAGTCTGATTGGGAATCTTTGAATCGCAATGTATCTGGGTCCATGTTCGAAGCTCTTCAAGAGCGGGATGACGATACCCATCTCGATGATGCTATGGTCGATGTTGCTGGCGCGCCGGCAACCAAAAAGCGGACATCAAAGCCGGCGGAGGTCACGCAGAACCCTGTGGCAGATGAGCATGCCGACATCGACGTTGACGATGACATTACTTGAGGGATTCGATGGAATAAGGCAATGGATATCTCGAGTCAGCTATCTCCTTGGTCTGAGCTGATTGATCATTCGCTCAATTTCAGCGACGGCTGGTCCCGAAGCTTTCGCCCGGAGAAGTTCAAGAGTATTGACGTCTTTTGCTCTGTGGGCTTCCTCTGCGGCTTTTACGATCATTCCACATTTCACCCACATCTCGATCCTCTCCTCGACGGGCAGATTGGTGCATTTCGGAATAAATAGCGAAGCTAGCTTGGTGTTGCCAGCACCTAGGATTTCATTATAGAAAGGCTATCACGCTGTGTGTGAGCATGCGTTTATATGGACGGGGGTAGTGTTTAGTGAAATATCAGGATGCGGGCAGTGTTCAATGAGATATCGGGATGTGAGTAGTGTTTAATGAAATATCAGGATATGGGTAGTGTTTTACTCACCTCCCACCCAATCGGGGATTTCTTCTTGGCCATCTCTTCCAATTCACCCCAGTCTCTCTTAGCGACCAGGGCTCTTAATCGCAGCCACCAATAAGTCTTGTCCGGCATCCTGAACTCGCTCTGGATCTTATGCGCTCGTTTTCCGTAGCCCGATTTGATCAGTCTGTAGATAGTGTCATTTAAGCTGAGGCTGACAAACTCTGCGCGATCTGCAATGTCTTTGTCCAAAGCCTCTTGGACCTTCAGTAACTGTGACGCTTCAGAGAGCAGTTTCTGCTGTAGAACAGCAGTTGCATCCTTAGAATCTGATAAGAGCTTCGATGCGAGAAGGAGTTTCTCAGTTTTATGCGGTAAGTCTGTCGCATTCAGTGCCTCCGACAGGAGGACATTTGAACCATCGATAGGTCGGTCATCCTGGTAGAATAGGTCTTTCAGCAACTCTGTGTCTTCCCCGCGAGCATTCGCTTCGACCAATGCCGAGGCAATGGGCCGGGTGTTGATCATCCTAAAGAAGCTGGCGAGAGGGAGTTTGCTCTTCAAGTGCAAGAGTACATAGATGATAAGATCGTCATCTCCACTCTCAATCGCCTTGTCCAGGGCGACTTCGTCTTCTTCCATCTTCAGCAGCAGCGGAACTTGCTTACCACCCCGGGGTTCGTGATTCAGAAGCTGTGTGGCCAGGTGAGCGCGTCCTTCGTCGTATGCAGCTTGAGCAATCTGCTCGAAAGATATTCCGGGCTTGCCTTCTAATTTCTGCACAATGAGTTTGCAAACGGCTTCGTCGTCGACGGTGGACACCTTGACCTTCTGGCTGGCCCAGTGAACATAGATTCTGTCCGCTGGAATCTGAAGATATTCGGATATTCGGATGGAAAGCAGATATTCATGGCGGTTTACCAGACGCTCGATGAGCTTCTCCGGTGTGAGTCGCAGATATTGCTCATAAGAAATAGGCAGCCCTATTTGGTAGTCCCTCACTGCTTTCAGCACTCGAAGTTTCTCCGTCATTTCGACGAACTCATCGCTGTTGTACAGATCCAAGACAGACTTCCCATATGAAGCAGCTTTCAGCAGTCTCTTCTGCCAGTAGACATCAAATTCATGACCCGCAGCCTTGACACAGGTATCTACCGCTTCTGGTAAACTGGAGCGAATGCGTTGTATGTTTTCATCAGCCTTGGGCGACTTTTTCTCCAAGAGATCTACCGAATCCAGAAGGACCGAAGCTGGGCTAGTGGAACCAAGCCTGAAGATGGCTTCAGTGACATCTGTTCCGAGCCTAGTTGTTAGCCGTCGCTATGTCGCAATTTGTGCTCCCCTTACCTGTAACTTTGTGTAAGAACTCGCAGTTATCGTTCGTAATCAATCGGACCCCATCACATTCGGGTATCACATGCACAGTGCCATCGTAGTAATACCTTCACATGGTAAGTTTGTGCAGACAGTGAGATCAAAGAAGATGACTTACTTAGCAGCAGCACCATTGGGACCAATAAGATGTATCTCGTCCTCCCATGCAATGACAACAGCGTCATCACCACACCAGTCGACGGTACGAGGAGTCACTCGAGATTGCGGGTCATATTCGGTGTGTTTACTCTGAAAATCACTGCTCACTACCCAGACCTGACCCTCGGCGGTGTAAAGGGCCACGAATCGACCGGTAGGTGACACGCTTGCATGTTTAAAAGGTCCATTTTGAAGCACTTTGTCTTCTGCTTCTGAGGAATCAATCAAAAATATAGTCTTGTCGACTGCCAGTAGCACCTCTACTGAACGAGAAAGAGTATATGGTGGCGGAATCAACGACCAAGAAGAGACTTCACCTTCTGGACACGGCGCTAGCAGCTTGGGTCGCGGCTCATCATAGTTTGAAACAGCAATCAGTTGATTATTCGAGAGCAGAGCGACAAAGCCATTATTCCAGAACTTGCATGCTCTTACGCCGTATTCTTCAGCTCCCTGGCAGAAAAGGTTAGCATTCATGGCTCTGCTATATATTTATACTGACTCACGTTTCCTAGAGAAAAAGACGTAAAGTCACCATACAAGCCGAAATATCTGCGGACTGTTCCATCTTCTGTGATTACTAGCAACTCTTCTTTTTCGGACCAGCCGAGCCCTCGAATCGTCCCATGTTCCCACTACAGGATTAGCATGAGCACATCGACATTGCAAGCTTTAGCTTTGCCTGGTTGCATGGCAGGAAACTTACATTGATGCGATTTATATGCTTCCCAGAGCACGAATAGATGTCAATGCTTGATCTAGCTGTATGAGCATCGCGAAACATGTACGGCTTGCTCTCGTCCCGATGAAGGGCTATCCATCTCATCAGTCATTGAGACAGATTGAAATGACACTTGTAACGTACCAATAGCTCCTCCATATGGCGCGCCGGCGACAATGTAGTTGTCCAAGTCCACATCCTCGTTAAAGATAGCGTCATACAAGGAGACTTTCCTGTAAAAGCTGTCCCCAAGTCGCTCCCAATTCGCAAGCGGATTTGATGGCGCCATTAATTGTGTTTACTTGTATTCATTGATGAGAGATACAAAATGCAGAGACACGTATTGGTCCAATGCAGTAGTGTGCATGGACTGATTGACCGCGGTCTGTTGCCTTCCTTATCCGAAGGTCGACATTTGGTCCTACTCCCGCGCTAACCCTGATCGGGTCAATTATACCTTAGGCATCATTACGTGCCTTTACACCTTGTTTTCTTTCATCAAACAGTCATCTATTTCGCTTTGGATAGCCGTCAACACCATGGCTCCACAAGTCAACCATTATGGATGATAAAGAAGAGATAAGCAGTCTCGTCTCGGATCTCTCAGATCTCGAAGTTGCGCTTCTACTATCTCTTGCTGTTCATGAACATTGCCTCATTGAGACAACGAACGACTGCATCCATGACGTTGCGAAAGAACTGGCCCTGGTAATTTTGTACACTGATTGCTGGCTCCTTGCTCAACACGCCACTAATACCTTCATAGATATGTTCGAGTGTCTTCGGCCGCACGTGTAAAATTCTGGAATGCTCGTCAGCTACCTCTTTGGAGGATTTCTACTCTGAAGTTCTAGTGTTGGATGTATCCAAGGCGAATGCGCCCTACTCAGGCCCACGTAAAGGGGCTGAATCTGTATGGTGATAGCCATAACTTGACTACACAACCAGGACTAATCATTCCAGCTGTCAACCCATCACATCAACACTGAGTCAAGAGATCGTACGAGGTCTCCTGGTTTCCGCAATGTCTTCGGGGACAAGAAAGTCGTTGACGTCGTTATCGCCAAGAACTTCAATTATGTTGACGGGGTTATACAACTTCATGCTTTGGAGGTAGGATTTCTTGATCATCAGGACGATGCTTTGCTGAACCATCGACAGTTGATGCGCTCCAAACGATTGAACACAAATCATGGCCCGATTGAAGCACCGCCTGGCTTTCTCTTCGTATCCCTTGTAGTCCGTGACTCGGACCAGCTTAGCCCTCGTTTGAATCATCACCTAGTGCGTGCCGTCATTTGTGCAATAGATGTCTGTTATCTACTGACGTCCAATCAGAATGACCACCTCATCCTCTCTCACTTTCATGATCCTACGGACGGCTATGTTCACCTAGAAGAAAATATGGACTGGCTCTCAGATGGGCAGTTGTCAGCCTCGTCTGTAGTCCGTAAATCAGATGCTCAGCTAAAGAATCAGAGCCTAGCAGTTGGCCAAAAAGTATGCTTTCCTTTTAACCTCTGGATTGGCCTCCTGCTAATGATTTGTGCTAAAAGTTACTGGACCTAATACAACAGCTAAGCACCTCCGTCTCAGTGGGCGCAGACATTATACGGTATCAGCAAGATATTGTTGTATTCTTGCGACTAAGCCGCGCTGTTGCTGGGGGCATCACAGCACGGTCAAACATGCAGTTTACGAAACTCTCGAAGTACGTCCAGCTAATCTGTTTCCCTAAAGAATGCACCTAATCACCCCTGGCAGACTACTCGCAATATTACACGGGATTGACTATTTGACTCCCTCGATTGTGGCTTTGGCTGCAAGAAAAGCCTTCCGCCATCGGATTGTCCTCGCACAACCTGAAGATGACAGAAGTTTGCAATACGGGAGTGACATACAGGCCGTGACTAAAGTCCTTGCTCAGGCCAGTCCGGATTCCATACTGGACGGTGTTCTTACACTGGAGCCTCCATTATGAATCGACAAACCACCGAGATTAACGGCTCACGAGGACTGTGTTGCAGGGGCCTTCGCCAGTTTTTCGGCCATGGCAATGCCTGCAGTTCGTCCTGAGAAAATGCAGCCCCCCAGAAATGTGCCTTCAAGGGAATTGTATCCATGCACACCTCCGCCTCCAAAACCTGCAACTTCACCAGCGGCGTACAGGTTCGTGAAGCGAGTCCCGTCCTGACGGAGAACATTCGCGCTCAGGTCTGTCGCTAGTCCACCGAGGGTCTTTCTGGTGAGGAGGTTCATTCTGACGGCAATCAACGGCCCGTGGCTTTGGTCTAAGAGCTTGTGAGGTTTGACGACTCTGCTGAATTTATCAGGCCAGAAGTTGCGCGCATTCTGGATTAGCATCAATTGCGCGTCTTTTGTGTAGCTGTTATCTACCTGTGCGTCACGGAGCTCGATTTCCCGTTTAACTTGGTTCATGTCCAGTGGCGGACCTCCATGTTTCTGTCCGAGGTTGTCCATTCTCTCAAGTAGATTATTCAGAGACGTCTCCACGATGAAATCTTCTCCATTCTTCATGAAGGCCTGTACAGGGCCCGTGCCGTTGGAGCCAAATATCCGCTGGAGTAGAAGGAGGATACTTTTGCCGGTAATGTCCGGGTTCTGTTCTGACCCAGAGAGGGCGAATTCACGGGCGATGATGCTTTTGTTTAAGACAAACCAGGTGTAATCATAGCCAGTCGAGCATATATGCCGTAGAGTAGCAAGTGTATCGCAGCCAGGATACAAAAACGGAGGCAGCCGCTTTCCTGTAGCATCGAGCCAGAGAGACGATGGTCCAGGAATGACTCGAATCCCATGCTTTGGCCAGATTGGGTTCCAGTTGGTCAATCCCTCAGTGTAATGCCACATCCGGTCGCTGTTTATCACACTGGCTCCAGCTTTCTCGGAGATATCGATCATGCGCCCATCAACATGCGCAGGAACCCCCAGCACGAACGATTGCGGCACCTTAGGACCCAGCCGATCCACCGGCCAGTATTTCTTCACCAAATCCAGGTTCCCGCCGATACCACCTGAGGAGACAAGCACCGCAGCGCCCTGAAGCTCAAAGGTACCAACGCTCTTCCGCGAAGAAGCAACGCCTCGCTCCACGTCTGTTGGCTCCAGCACCTGCCCACGAACACCCACCGCAGCACCTGTCTCACCATCAACGATGATTTCATCCACCTGATGCCGGAATCGAAACCCAACCAGCCCTTTCTTCGCCGCTTCTTTCACCGGACCAGCGAACGCCTCGACGATCGCCGGCCCTGTTCCCCATGTGAGATGGAATCGCGGAACAGAGTTGCCATGGCCGCCAGCCTGCCCACTCCCGCGTTCAGCCCAGCCCACACTGACAAACCGCACGCCCAATGCACCAAGGTATGACTCCATATGATCCGTCGCGAAGTTAACAAATGCTTCTGCCCATTTCCTCGGCCAATGGTCCGTTTCGCGGTCGAATGCTGCGCTGCTGAACCAATCCTCCATGGCTAGCTCTCGACTGTCGCGGATGCCGAGTCGGCGCTGGTTACTTGAGTTTACGCAGAAGATTCCTCCCAGGGACCAGAATGCTTGTCCGCCTAGGTTGGCTTCATTTTCCTGGTCGACGATGATGGACCGGATGTTGCGGTTGGAGAGCTCGTAGGCGGCTACCAGGCCGGCTAGGCCGGCGCCTACTATGACAACGGGCTGGTCGTTCGTTGCCATTGTGTTTGGAATGGGTATCTTGGAGTTTAAGATGTCTTTGGAAGTATGAATCTGGTTATTCATGCATATATAATCGCGTGCTGACGTTGCCACTTGCTAGGATCTTGCGCCTACCGAGGTACTTGCGCCAATTAATGTTTCACCAGCCTGTGAAGAACGACGGGCGGAGGTCATCCTAAGAAGAACCATGCAGTTGTCCGTCCGGTCTGACCGCAGCTGCTCTCGTTGGTGGAAATTGGTCGTACTGTCCCCTACCCTACCTCTTCCACCTGGGCGTAAAGTGGTTGTGTCATCCGATCCACTCGGTGAAGTACCCCATGGCCCATCGGTGGGACGTTTCAATATATGTTCCAATCACACGATACAGAATGATTGCAGACGACTGAATTATCCGATCATGCATGTTGTGGATCTCGGAACCAGCCGAGACGGTACCACATCAAATGCTGACCTTGCAAGACAACATGCTGTCTCCAGAGAGAAGCCTAGCTGCTACATGACGGATACAGATATTATCAAACCGCGACTGTGTCTCCTCAGAGACGAGGATCCATCATGTGAGGAATCTCGGCGCGTTCGCATTATAAAATCACGTTTATGAACATACGAAGTGCATACAGCAAAATATGGACAACAAGGGTATTGCAGGAATATGTGGAGGGGCAGCCTAATCACTGCCTTGATACTCTCGGGGCAGCCCTCAAGAACATATCAGGAGGCGCAAAGCTAGCTTTCCTTTCCTCGGTAACGCCATTCCCAACCACGGGCGGATGATTCGCCTGAACGGAAGCCATGAGCTTCCGCCACTCTGAAAGCACAGCACCGATTTCGATCTTGGCGTCTCCGACTATAGCATCCATCTTGATATCGTTGCGGTCATATCCAAAGGGATCTTCGAGTTGACAGCCAATCCCCTCAATGCCGTACAACGTGAAGATCACAAGACTGACTATCGGGACCGCCCACCATCTCATGTCATCGACCATGGCGAATGGGAGCACACATCCAAACAGCGCGAGGACTTGCTTTTGATGGATTCTGCTCGTGCGATCAGCACTATGCAAGCGATTTCAACAGGGGGAAGAGGATACTCACAAATGAGCGACAGGTATAGGAGTCAATTTGATGGTTTCCATCCTCCCATACGCATCTGTCAACGTGTTCAGCTGGGCTTGCATCTGACTCGCTCCGGGAGCATTGAACCACCCCCGTTCCACGCCCCGTTTGATAAACCCATCCACAAAGAAAGTCAACTGGAAAGGTAGACCCAGGCCGTCATGCTCATGACCTTCCAGACCCACGGGAAGGAGACTGGCGTAGTCTGGGTCATACACCGCGGTACCGTTCTCATTAACATCACTCCCCAGAGCCCATGCCGCGCCCCATTCATCCCGAAGGTGGTTCTTGACAGCATAGGGAATTGCCATGAGCACACGGATTGTCCGCTCGACGTCCTGCTGTTCAGCGGCGGTGGGAGGGCCGCTCTCACTGTAGCTGTTTGTGATAATTGTACGGACAAGATTGCGTACACAGGTGACGATTGTGTTCATGCCGTTGCGACCGTCCCAGAATCTATTGTAGGATGTCTGATTGCGGAACACGAGCATCAGACCCACGACGATAGACAGAGACGGAATCTTGAGCTGTTATCAGCAACATTCACACAACGCGACTCGGGAGACTAGAATAACGTACAATGCTATTCGGCAGACCGACTGTATCAAAAACATACTCGTCAAGGTAGACCACGAACGCCGTAAACAGCGCATGCAGGCACACTGGCACCAGAATCGCACCGTGGATAGCACCCTTGATGAACCGGAAAACCAACGGCCATCTAAACAACTTAACATCGGCCACTCACAAATAGAAAGAATGCGATAAAAGAATACGTACCTCCTCGGCTTCCTCCGACTCGACAGTAAATGCGGATGCGTCCCCGTCCGATGATGATGCGCGCGCTCGCGTCGAAAACTGAACGTAGTGCCGTTCTGGCGCTCCAGCGTCGGAGAGGGAGGGTCACTTGTACTGACTCTCATCTCTGTATTGATATCTCCCACGGAAAAATCGTTGACCACGGCAAGGATTGTTTATCAAAACAAACAAGTAAACATGAGGATAATTAGCGGGCAGGAGGGGCGGCCGTTTCAGACAATCTAGCGGTCAACGAAGTTTGAACAGACTCAACACTACGGATACACGAGTCTAAATCTGGCAAGCCCAGAGTTTACTAGTCTGCTATTGCGGCACAATTGAATTATAATTTGTGAGGGGACGAGAACGACCCTTATATAGATGGTTGGGGATTTCACCTCGTCATGGCGAAGTGTGTTTAGAGGAGTGATCGTCAGTACATTCGAGATGGAGGAGGGGCAGCCATTAATCGAGCACAGATAGGGGCGATCTGGACCTAAGAGCCAACTGGCCAGGGCGGGGTATACACTACTGCAGCAGTGTCGGTTCATCTGGGCCAAAAATGACGTCTAACAGGGAGCATGCGTGTCGTTGATAAAAGAGGGAAGGCTACTGATTGCACAGGTAATGACTGAGAGCCTGTCTGCAGTGCGGCCCAGGCAAACTACCTACTAATCCTACCTGAACCTGCATATGTCCATGCTCGACGCTAAGCGAGAGTAGTTGAATGAGTAAAGCCAGGTAATCCAACCTGCAATTAAAAGCACCAAACTTGGACGCGATCGTCAAATATAGTTCTGAAAGCGAGAAAAGGATACCAACGCCTAAGCCGGGGATGGAGGGGATACATGGAATGAAAAGCTTGTCACAATGCGGAAACGCTGGATGTTATGATAAAAATGCAATGCGCTGGATAGACCCAACCATCTCGACCGAAGACCGACGCCAGGATGATGTGGGCAAGTACAAAAATAAAAAAGCAGACGGGGTGCAACGATGGGGTATATGTAGGCGGCTGATGACGTGTCTCAAAAAGGTGAATAAGAGCACGGCAATGGCGAGACAGCAGCATAGGAGATAATCGGCGACAAAAAAAGCTCCAGCAGAGAAAGAAAATGATTTGAAT